TTCAGGTCCTCCTGACTCCCAAGGTCGGAGTTCTATCCACTGTGCTGCCCCTACATTCACTCTTTAGGCCCTGGTTCCTTCATGTCAACTCTCCCTGCCCTTCAACCTGGAAAGACATTGTAAAACTGGGAATCTAGACATTCTGTCCTAGCCCTAGCCATGCCACTGAATCAGTCACTCACTCCTGTTTTCTAGAACTCCCATTTTTCTTTCTCCACAAAGAGAGAATAGACCTAGCTGAGCTCAGGGCCCTTCCAGTTCTGCTAACTCGTGGGTTCTGTGGCACTGAGAGTGCCACCATCTTATAGTCCCTCTTGCAAGGCTCTCATAGCTGCCTAAACAAGACGTAGGGAGAAGAGACAGGGAAGAGAGAGAGAGAGACAAAGAGAGACAGGGAGGGAGGGAGGGAGAGAGAGACAGAGACAGACAGACCCAGAAGGAGATAGAGAGAAAGGGAGGAAGAGAGAAAGGAGAAAGAGAAAAGGAGGGAGGGAGACATAGAGAGAGGGAGGAAGGGAGAGAGGAAGAGAGAGAGAGAAAGGGAGAGAGAGACACAGAGAGAGAGGGGAAGGGAGGGAAGGAGAGAGAAAGGGAGAGAGAAGGAGAAAAAGAAAGGGACAGAGAGGGAGGGAAGGAGAGAGAGAAAAGAGAGGAGGAAGGAAGAAAGAAAAAGAGAGGGAGGGAGAGAGGGTCAGAGAGAGAAAGAAGAAGAGAGGAAGATGAGAGTCAGGGAGGGTAGAAGAGACTGCATATGCTTCGAAGGAGTAGGATAAAACTCAGGTCATCCAAAAAACAGGACTTCACTCATAAGTTCCAAAGATGTCATTGTCTAGGGGAGGAAACTGAGGCTCAGAAAAGTCATCATTTGCCTGGCGTTATACAGGTGGTGGGGACCAGTGAGTGCAGAATTTGAACCCAAGTCCTCTTTCCACTACGTTCTATTTGTTCTAACCCCAAATTCCTAAAGCCCAGATCCAATCATGTCACTCCTCCACTCAGTAAACTCCAGTGGCTCCCTATTGCCTCTAGGATCAAAACCAAAATGCTTTGCTTGGCATTCAAAGCCCTTCATCACTTAGTCCCTTCTTCCCTTTCCAGAAACTCTGAGAGTCTTCCCCTCCCAGACTGATTCTTTTATAAAGGTAAACTAGGCCATCTTTTGCCTCAATTCTTACCTAGCCTTTAACTACTGAATGAGTGTTGTATCTGACAAATTGAGACCTGGGAAAGACCTTAGCTAAAAAAGGCTAGGGTCTCCCACTGCATCCTGGGCCATCACCAGTCATCCTGACCTGTGTCTTGCCACTGGACT